AGAATATAGTGGAGATATGCAATTTTCTTTTTGGTAGGTGACTTTTGGGACACCCTGTATATTACAACAAAACATGAAATATAAGCTAATCGAAGTTTAACGAACTTCTGGATTCGATATATAGAAAATATGAAATGAAATTTGAATTATATTTTATTGTTCTAGTTCATTCAAATTAACGAAAACAAAAGTAAATATGTTTTAACATTGTTAATGTCTCTTCAATTTCAAAGTATTCTTTTGTACTGTTGAAAAAGTTATGAAATACTTTGCATAGATTTTCCTTGATGATATATATTATCTTCAAGATTTATCACTTTCTCTATGACGAAATGGTTTTTGTCGAAAAGAAAAACGAGTTCTCCTTAGCAATCAAATAATAAGAATATAGATAACAGAGACGTTGATCTAGAGGTCAAGAAGATGCTGGAAAAAAAATAAGCATAATAAATATATAAGAAAGCAAAAAAGTAATATATATGCGCATATAGAATAAAAACAAAAGAGGTAGCTTTATGACGACATTCACATTCGGCGACATAGATATTGAATCAAATATTACAGAATGAGATAGTAGTATAAGTTGTTGTCAAGTTATTAATTAAATATTCAATATTTCATAGTTGCACGATTTAGAATATGAAAGTATTGATCATAAACAGTTCATCAAATTCTATTAGTAGTAGAATTATAAAAAAAAAATTAACATAATTCTTCTATAGATATCATATTATATCATTTTTTTCGTCAGTTATATTGTGAAATTCTCTATCTAACAATAGATTATCTTGTCTAGAATTCTAATTTCATACTTATACCTGACTCTCACTTTGTATAATCATAAGATTATTATATTTTATTCGTAACACACTACATACGTAGTGAATACGATTTGTAATCTAAAATACTGAACTCTTATTGATTAAAAGTTTACAGCTTTAAACATTTATTATTCAATTATTTTAGATAGACAAATATAATGTCTTCTTCACGTAAAATACGTGTTGGTCTTGTTGGTTTTGGCCTATCTGGTCAAGTATTTCATGCTCCATTTTTACATACAATGTCAAATATGTATGAACTTTGTAGTGTAGTCGAACGTCATTCAAATGAAGCTATTAAAATTTATCCATATATAAAAACTGTTCGTTCAACAACAGAATTATTTGATGATCCTAATATTGATCTTGTTATAATAACAACATCAAATGATTCACATTATTCATTAAGTAAACAAGCATTAGAAAAAGGAAAACATGTAGTTATTGAAAAACCAATGACAATACGAAGTTCTGAAGCTTTAGAATTAATTGAATTAGCTAAAAATAAAAAACTTATTCTTTGTCCATATCAAAATCGTCGATATGATTCAGGTTATCGTACAATAAAAGAAATTATTAATAAAAAATTATTAGGTAATGAAATACTTGATTGTGAAATACATTTTGATCGTTATCGACCAGAATTAAAAGGTGATAATGCATGGCGTGAACGAAATGAACCAGGTGCTGGTATTTCATATGATTTAGGTTCACATTTAATTGATCAAATATTAAGTTTATTTGGACATCCAAAAACAATTACAGCTGATATTCGAATACAACGACCTGTTGCACATGTTGATGATTATTTTGATGTTCGTCTTGATTATGGTCGTTTACGTGCTACACTTAAATCTAGTATGCTTGTTCGAGAAATGGGTCCACGATATGTTTTACATGGTTCAAAAGGTTCATTTATTAAATATGGTGATGATATTCAAGAAGGTGTACTACGAACTGGTGTTATGCCACCAACAATAGATAAAAAAACAGAAGAAAATTCTTGGGGTAAAGAACCAAGTGAAGATTATGGACTTCTTCATACAGAAACAAATGATGGTCAAATAACAAAAGAAAAATATGAAACATTACCTGGTAATTATGGTCTTTTTTATGAACAATTATATGCTGCTATTATTGATGGAAAACAATTAGAAGTTCGACCTGAAGATGGTTATAATGTTATACGTATTATTGAACTTGCTTTACAAAGTAGTCAAGAAAAAAGAACATTACAATGTGATCAACTTTTATGAACTATTATTTAGATAGTAGACAAAAAAAAATATGTTTTGCATATGATTTAATAGTTTTTAAGGCAAATAGTATTTGATTAAAAAATGAAATTGAAATATATAGATACACATCTAATGTTTTTTTTTTACAATATGTTAATTTTTATGTTCTAAAAATGCAATACTTTGAATATTAAAACAAACAAGAATTGAATATAGAGTATATGAATACAAAATATTTAGTCTTAATTTTTATAAATAAAGAATTGATACAATAAACATATATAACAATTATCAAAAAATATTTGAATTTTTTTTAAGTTTGTAATTTTTAACAAAGTAACTATCTCAACTATAGTCTGTCATGCGAGCTCATAAGAAGAACTTGACATGACTAGAAAAAGTATAAAATGGTTCATCTTCATGGGTCTTGTCACTAAGTTTTCGATCAATTTTAGGTATTTACTGAAAATGTAAATAATGGAATTTTGCTCATAGATATATCTAGTGATTTCTTAGAATATTCTTTCGTCGAGATATTGAATTATCCAGTAAACTCAATGTAGCCAATAACTATTTTTTTTGAAATTTAGTATCTCAACAAAGAAATATTTTTTTTCAGTGAAAATTTCAGATTAAAATTTTGTTTTCGATTTTTTTCCGGATTTATCTAAATCTAGATCGAAAATTCAGTAAAACGATGATAACTCGATTATCAACGTTCATTACAAAGAAAATTTGTATGCTTTTTCTAATCTCACTGAAATCTCTCTGTGCAAACGCACTTTCGAAGGAACGTTTTTTGAAACTAATCAGTCTGTGAGAATTCATCGACTTATTTTTTTTTCCATAATTTGCAGAGTATCAAAAAAGTTCACCGTGAAAAAAACAAACAACGTGAACAACTTTTAATCAGTTTAAATGATATAAATTATAATATTTTCAAATATACTGATAGTACGTTTCCTAAAGTTGTATTATATATATTTTCTAATAAATTTCTTTATCCAAAAGACATTGTAGTCAAACTTTCAATAAAAAATAATTAATTGATTTTGTAAAAAATATAATGCAGTTGGCAAAGGTCAAACCAGGTGTGATTGATTGTTTGACCTATTTAATTTAATATTCATAAAGAACAGCCTTTTTTTCTTCACTTCGTAACAGTTACACTAACCTTTTTTTTATAATTATGAATCACTTCGACGCCATGTAAGGCTTTTATTTATTTATTTCTCTTTTAAATGTCTCCATTCTTCTAGTATTACAATGAATAATCATATGTCACCGTGTGTGCTTATATACTAACCCTAAAAAACAAACTAGTAATACTGACGCATTGATATGAAAAACTTAATTTTAATCCTCAAGTATATTAAACAGTATTAATTTACATCAATATATCAACTCGAATGTAACACCCAAATTACTTGAGAGTGAAGTTTGAATATTAGGGGGCTGCTCAAATCGAACCGAACAAGACTAAAAAAAGCGAAATTCAGTTCGATCAGTTCTCTGCTTTGAATATAAATAGTTTTATTAATGACCAAAATTTAAGTCATTTATCCTTATGAAACAAAAACTTCAAGTCGAATTCAGCATATGAACTCCACATGTGCACCATATTAGAGATAATTTTCAGTTCTTTTTTCAAAACAACACAATAACAATGAGCTACTATTAATTAATTCATAAAAAAAAACTTCTCCGGTATTAATTTTTAGTTATTTTGAAAAAGATCAATTTACGTATTTTAGATAATGGTAATCATTTTGAATATTTATTAGAAAGTAAATTATATGAAATAAAACTTTAAAAAATATACTATACAAGCATTTAATATCATACCTAAATAATGATTTGAATAGTCAATGAAATTCTACTATAAGAACAAGGTTTATGAAAAACTAAACAAGGTAGTTTTTAAGTACCATAAGACTGTATGAAAATTAGTTGTCACTAGTACCAACTTAGAAAGCACAAAATCCTAAACAAAATGCGGTATCGACGCGTCTTTTACAACCTTTTCTTGAAAAGTGATAAGCAACACTAAAAACCAAAACAATGCAATTTTTTGAAGATATGCGCTTTTTTCCCGCTTTGTATGATGGCTATATATTGGGTATGGGCGTGGGGATGCATGTCAGTATTCTTTTTACCCACATCCACCCACAAATAAATACAAGCCTTAACTTAAATTCTTGGTATTGTAGAAAAAATAAATAAAAAATACGTTGATTTTGTATTTTTGACCTTTACTTTATTTAACAAGTATTCTTCTTGTTTTTCATGACAAACTTTTAGGATGTTCTCTAGTTTTATTTATTTAAATAAGACTCTTGGTGTTTTCTTCTACAAGTCTTTTGACATTTTAAGAGATATATTAATTCCTATTAAACATGTTTTTTTTATACATTTATGTCAAACAAAATTACAACTGCACGCGATGACACTACAGAGAACGAATATTATGTTTGTTGAAAGTGATGAAGGAGAACAAGGAAAAAAAATATTGATTTACTACTATAATTCTACTTCCTTCATATAAATGTCGCAATTATGAAAAACCAAAGTAAATATTTATATTCAAATACTATAGATTTGAATCTAGTTCCAAAGATACCGTAAAAACGGCACAAGTTATCAACAGAACGTAGAAATGTGACGAATATTGATTTAGGTGTGGGGTACATTGGAAATGAGGCCATGCAAAAAACGACTAAAATGTGAAACTAGGAGGACCAAAGCAAAACATGAAGTGACACGTTTTTGTTTTTCGCTGATTTTTTTTTGTAAGACATCGTGCTTCCCTTTTATTGATAGTAATGTCATTTTCTATTCACTCTTATAATTCCATGCAATTAAGCAGTTTCTGATGTTTCATTCTATTTGCTTTTCATTTTCATCTCAGTAAAAGACTCATTCATGCATATGCAAATACTTTTTGAATAATCTAGTTGACATTTTTCCTAGCATCGACTTGCATTAATTGCATCATACTGAATGGTCATGACTAAAATAAACAGGAAAAAAATAACGTAGGAGTGGAAGAAAACAATTCAATGTTAACTTGTATATATATATATGTGTTGCACAATAGCGTCAGTTTATTATTGAAAAAAGAACGATAATTATACAACAATCTAAATATTGGTTAATTACTATCGCAAGTAGACTGTTCAAACAAATCAACATCATCACTGAATGATCATATCTATCATTAAATTTTATATGGTTATCATTTTCCTTTGTGTATTACTCTTATTTGGAACGGTTTTATCAAGACCTTTAATGCAAAGGATTCTGATTAACAATCATGAATGGGAAGTGCCTAATGAGCCAGGCTGGGAAGAAGTTATAAGAGAAGCAGAAGAGGTACAACAACGACATTTTAGTTCATGTTTAACAGTTGCTGAATGCCGTCAAGTTGTAAATGAAATGCGTGCTGTTTTTTCTCGTTATCCAGTATCTAAGAAATATCTTGACACAAGTCAAAATGATGCGAATGACAAATTTTCATCAATATTCAAATGGGGTTAAATATATACACATGAATTCTCTGTACAGATACATGCATTTGAAAATGGCGAAAGGTTATCTACGTTAAAATGGTGACTATAAGTGTTACAGTAGTTTTTGAAAGCAGAATCAGCTATATGTAGGCTTGTATAGAAACATTTGCCCTAAATCCTTACATATATTCTGTTCTGTAATCAATAACTATGAATGAACTTTGTCATTTGGTTTATTATAAATGTTGTACTGAATTTTGATTTGACTTAATCTTTTTTCTGTACTGTTGTTATTGATTTTTAATTGTTATGTTTTGTGTTTTTGTATATTTACTTGATACCGTATATTATGAAATTTGAGTATTCCATCGATTAGATGAATACAGATATTGTTTAATAAGTTAAATTATTTATAAAACCTGACGAATAAACAGTTCTAAGTGATGAAACGTTGTTGATTTTAGATTAAGTGCATGTGGCTAGGTCCCAGTAAAGTGTTTAAAAAAACCCAAGGGATAAATACTCTTAGACTTTCCTTGGATTGAAGCCAATCTTGTCCAAAATTTTTGTACTAGATACTTTCTATGGCTCGAAACGCATCGCCCAGTACGCCGGGATTTTTGACCGGATCGAGTGGGCCAACCAAAGATGCCCATCGGGCCCGGCAGGCGGCTGTTAGTTTTGTCAGGCCAGCCGAACCAAAAAAAATTCTATTTTTTTCTTTTATGAAATTTTATAAATGTCATATAGAATTGAGTAGCGATAAAAAAATTTTGTTATAGCCACTTCTACGGAGCTATTATTAAACAACACAGTAAACTACAGGACTGGGCGAGTCTGAGTGATGACTCGGACTCGAGTCACTTTTTTTCTGATGACTCAGACTCGAATCAGTCTCGGAAATTAGGCAGGATTGACTCGATCTGTTTGACTTGAGTCATATTCGAGTCATTCATTTGCAAAAATTTCCATTTTTTCTTAACTTTCGACATAATTGAATATATTGATTCGAACTATTATTTCTGAAGCTTTTCTAGACCTATGTTTTATTATGATCATAAATGTTAGTCTCCGTGTATTACTGAATACATGCGTTTTTTCTCATTTTTTTTTGGCTAATCTTTGAAAAGTGTGCACGTGTATGTAATGAAATGAGTCAAAGCTTTGCATTGTATCACATGTCATATTATTTCTCATACTCTAGTATAATTATTGAGCGCCAGTAGTTTTGATCATTATAACAAAAAAAAAAGATTGATCACGAAATGTTTCCGTTACTCATTTTACATTCTTTATTTCTTAACAAAAGAAATCAGTGTATAATGCTCTATTCATTCATACTCCACCCTCTTATTTCGAAGAAAATAAATTCATACCGATCTCTTAATAAGCTTGCTAGAAAAATGATGTAAATTTCTGCTACATTAGTACCAGTTGAATGTTTTCTATTAAAGCACTGTTTTAATGAGAAGGAATCATTCAAGTTTTACAGCAGCTAATATTTATTTTAGCATTTTTAATTTGCAATAAGATATCAATTAAATGATATCTTATCAAATTTTATTTGTAAAAGGATTTTTGTTTAGACTTTTGTTTATAAAAAAATAAGTGATATTTTTTACTGTAATGTGAAACTGTATGAAAAAGAAGAGTTGATTTTATTTCTATTTTTTTGTTTTTGATTAATCTAGAGTAGTTGCAGGACTTTATTTTAGGTATAACTTCTTAGTTTTGTTTTTGTGTATATCAACTAAGAACTACATATCGTGTAATGAAAAATCTGTGATTCACGTTCGTTATAAAGAAAAACCGAAAATAAACAAAATGACAAAAATAATTTGACTCGACTCGAGAAATCACTTGACTCATTCAGCCCTGATAAATCAATAGCTTTTTAATATACAATCTGTTAATCTATTTTCTTATGAAAAATACATAAATCATTTTCATCTTTGTCATTTATAACTTTTGCATCTACGATTGTGAAAACAGCTTACGCATAGATTGCCTAAAAAACTTGCAGCAATGATAAAACGACAAGAGTGGTCGAAACAGGGGCGGCGGAAGAATTTTGTGAATGCTGGATCTAAGCTTCAGAGCATGGGACCCAAATGAAATTTATGGAGGATGATATTGGACCCAAATGATGAGGTTTTATGAAAAAAAATTTCCGATTGGAGTTTGCGAAAAAAAAAATTTTTTTCCTGAGACTCCCCTAGATTTTTCTTTTCCTGTTATTAATTTTTCGTTTTTTAGAAATTAATAGTAAGCTACATCGAATTTCATCGATAGATTTCAAATTTCATCCAAAAATATGCCACCGTTCAGGAGTTATAACGTTTTAAAAATTTGCTACATGTTGCTGAAATTTTAGCAAAAACTCAAAACGTTATAACTCGTGAACGGATGCTTACTTTTAGATGAAATTTGAAATCTATCGATGAAATTCGATGTAGCTTACTATTAAATTCTAAACAATGAAACCCTAATAACAGGAAGATAAAAATCTAGGTGAGACTCAGGAAAAAAATATTTTTTTCGCAAACTCCAATCGGAATTTTTTTTTCATACAACCTCATCATTTGGGTCCAATATCATCCTCCATAAGTTTCATTTGGGTCCCATGCTCTGAAGCTTAGATCTAACATTCACAAAAATTCTTCCGCCGCCTCTGGTTTCAAAGTCATAACATTCAGTAACCGAAAACAAATGAAATGGCCTTATTCCATTTTAATCGTTTGTTTTACTCTTTTAAGCAGAAATCTAAATTAAATTCACTATTAAATCACATGTATTCATAGAAAAAATATCTATCTTTTGCAGACAAACATGAAAAGATTAAAATAAAGAAAAATATTTAAGTTTGTGGTATTAATCATCACAGAGTTTTCATGCTTCAAAAAACTCATTAGCCAGTCATACTCATAATTTTCAATAAATCAAATAGATTGGGCTGGATGACGCATATGTTCTTTTAACAAAAAAAAAAACATAAAACAGTAAGAACTTAAATAAACGGCATCAATATGTATTCAGTAAACAACGACGGGGATGAACTTCTTATCGCATTAAAACAATGAAACGCACTTCGATATATCATTTCAATGATCTGATCTCATTAAATTCATCAATTAATCTATGGTGTGCTCCATAAAAATGTCTGTCGAAGTGCGATATTGATCTTTAAGACCAATTTTGAATAAAATGTTTGTTAAAATGATTTTTCTTCGGTCCTGAACCTGGCCATAGAATAAGTGGCCCATTTCGAGCCCTAATACTTTTACCGATTTTTTTTATTCGGTGACAATTCATATCATGCGTTTGTTCATAATACTACTAAAGTATAGCGTCAGTTTATCGGCGACAGCGCTGACGACTTTCGGTTCCAACTATAAATGATTGCAGAAAGCATTTCTTGATGAAATTCGAATTTATCATTAGCAAGAATTTATAGTCGCCGAGAAAAAAAAAACAAATTTCATAATACATTTTAATAATAAAATTTTTCGCTGCGCTATCTATAATAAAAAAAAATGATCTCGGAACTGAAGCCAATTTGAGACACACTCGCACCCACACCTTATTCTTTACAGACTGAGTCATTTATACGATCTTGTTGAATGGTAAATTTAAGAAAACAAAAATAACCTTTTATTTTCAAATGTTAACTTGTCGGATGAGATTAAATATTTGTATAAATGCGTTAATAGAGATTCATCGAAATTTAATTTTGACAACTCTTGTTATAAATCGATTACGTTTTAAGATCATGTCAATATCTACATAATATTATAAACGAATATTTTTATTTTATTTTATTTTTGTATAAATTACTAAAAGATTACAGATAGTTAGAAATTTAAAAATATCTATTTGTTTTTTTTTTGCATATTAATCAATTCTGCATGTTTATTTGTAATCAGACTTGTTTGTTACACCGAGTAATTTATTTTTCATCAGTTCTTTTCCTTTATTTTACGATGATCAATATATATTTTAGTTTACTCTCTTATTTTATTAGATGAAGATAAGGAAATCTTTATTGTTAATGCAGAAATTAAGGTGTTTCTTTTGTTTTGATATCATAAAAATAAGGTTTTTGTTTATTTTGAAAACATTATAGACACGAACAAACTTTTAAAAAATGCACATTATATATGAAGTTGTAAGATACGAATCATGACTCTATGTACTAAATTAGTGATCATGCAACTATTCCATATCTTGTATTTTAAAATCTTATTCTTCCTCTATAACAATAATGAAATATTTCACTTTTCTTCATAACGATAAAGTGATACATGGAGTTCTTATACTCATTGGTTTTACATCTAAATAAAATGGATGCAACAAAGACAGTACTGAACAGAATATATACCTATTAGCATTTTACATAAACCATTAGAGCACATTCAAACTATATAGGACTACTCAAGAAACATTCAATATTACACGGCGAGTACTTAATTAGTTCTTTCAGCATATTCTAGCGTAAGTATTCGCCTGATGAGTAGTACTTTCACTAGGGTACTGTTCTATCATTCTTAATCTCCGAGGTACATCGCTAGATGAATCATGCTGAAATTAATATTCGTTCATTATATAGTTTTCTAAAATTTTAAAAAAAGCGATATTTATTAATTGATGATTCAGATAAATTACGATTTCAGCAGCAGTAAAAAAATAATTTGTCCTTTTTTCTCTTACATTGAAAGACATACGAAAAAAGTTTATCTTTCATTTTCAATGAAATTTTATGAACTTGGAAAATTTACATTATCCGCATATTGATTTGGAATGTTACCAGGTGGATCAAATACAACAACACCATACCACCAATTTCCATCTGCAGATCGAGTTCGACCAACACCAATCTGTCGAGATCCTTGCCAAACTAATTGTGTAAAATTATTTGTATCTCTACGTCCATCCGTGCCGAATCTATATTTACGTCCTTCTTTCATCCATTTTCGTACCATTTTATTAGCTAAAAATCAAAACATAACACTTTCAATATATATATATATTTTTTTCAATCAAAACAAAAAATGAACCTGTTAATTCAATTTGAAATTGTGCTGCATAATTTTCACCGAGTGATTGTCGTCCAAAATTACGATATTCAAGTGGTCTATGTTCTAATTTACCAGTTTCAGCCATTTGATTAGCCCAATCTTGTGCAATATCCGATAGTGTGTCATCCAATTCTACTGGTGGAGCATCATATTGTTGACGAAATAAATTTATTATTTCACATGTTGCATGAGCAAAATCATCACTATCTTCCGTTGAACCAGAATTATCTATATAAAGAATAGAATTTATTTCATACAAAATTAATTCATACCTAATTTAGCTGAAGAAGAACGTATGTTAGATCTTCTACTAGTAGTATTTCTTTCAGAATTTTCGAAAGTATTAATTTCATTGGGACTAATTGGTCGATTATTAACACTTGGTGGACGTTGATACTTCGATGGCTTTTTCTTACTGAATTTAGCCATAAAAAATGCAGCAATACCTATTTAATTCAATAGTTCTTTTCAATTATTAAACAATATTTATCTTTACCAATATCAATACCCATAAAAAGTAATCCCGATAGGCCATTTGTTAACCTAAAGAATGATTCAAATATTGAATATATGTTTATTTTCAATCATTTATACATACCACATGTACCAATAGGATTGAAAACAGAGACTCATTTGAGCAGCCGAAAGAGTCATAATTACGTTTTAACAGTAATAGATTTTATTTGAATTATCGTACAAGCACACAATAAAAAATTCTCTGTCTTCTATTTAATGAAAGAAAAATTCTGTTTGCTTTTATAAACGATAGAGTTTATGCAATTGCGTTGGCAAAAATAAATTGGTGGAGCACATTCAACATAGAATTCCACTTGAATCTTTTTTTTTTTTTCATTTGATCATTAAAAGAAAAGTATTATGCTTGCCTACGGTCTACTTTAACGAATTAAATAATAAGGTATCGTTGATTTCAAAGCATTTTTCTTTTTTGTTGACAATAAAAATGCTTTTTGTGAGATTATGTTTTTTTTTTCTTTCTACTGTTCGCGGATACATTCGAAGCTCTTACGGTTCATTTTTTGTATGCTTTTCTGTCGAAATTCAAGTAGTAGAAGCAATAGAAGAATGTTTTTTTTTTGTTTTGTCTAGCATGTCATAGATCACTTAATGCGAGAGAATATTTATATGAAAGTGCCGGTTAAAGAATACATTAATCAACTTTATAGCATAAAATCGATTGATTTTGTATGTATATTGCAGAGTTTTCGCAATGCAGATTCAAGCGAACGACCAGGTGAAACAATGAAAGTTACCCTTTCGTTATTTAAATTTTGATATATATATATACATTGAGACATGCTCTATCTAATGGCTAAAAAGATTTTGTTACGAAATTTAAGCAGAGTGGAACAAGCGGCATTCAAAAATTAGCCTGAAAACATTAGTATCGATGAAAATATCAACTTTTGACTAGATTAAGCCAACTAGTAGACATGTTCAATAGATATTGACAATCTGCATATTGTCTGATATCGAACATCGAAGAAATCTTTTAATTTCTATATGTGACTTTTGAGGAAAAAAAATAAAAGTTTTTTCAAGACTTCTAATTTTCGGAATGACGAGGTTCAATAAAATGAACACACGCATATCTTAGCACCAATTCAAATCCGCTTAGATTATGCCAAAATATGTTCTATCCTATATCCTCCATCACTCACAGTTAGCATAAACGGTCTTGAGTGTTACAGTAGGTTTTCAAAAAACCTTTAATTTTCTTAAAAAAAAACATTTTTTTAAAGACACTAAATCATTTCTATTGAAACTTAATGATGTATTCCGAATTAGCTCACGAAACATCATCGGATGATTTATGGTAGAAGACATTTTCTCAAAAAAATGTGGACAAGGACTCCCTTAGATACTTGTCGTCGAAAAATTCTTTTTTCTGAGTAAAATACAATCAATTCTGGACAAAAGAAAGCCGTTACCAGGAGCAAAAGTTATATGTTCGTCTACTATGCGAAAAGTACACATTATGACTTCAAATAGTATACAGAGGGACGAAAAGATCGTCTCATGAAACTAGTCGGGTTGTTCCATCCGTCCCGTAGCTGTCGTAGCCAAAAAGTTTTGAGTTATAACCAATTTTCCAGTCAAATTATTCTGAAGTGTGGACAGCTGTCATCACCTTAGACAAAATTTATAGGCAATTGCAACTAAACCATTAAGGGACTCCCCCCCCCCTCAGGAATCGCTTTTCGTTATTCGTGGACTGATTTGGCTGAAATTTTCAGGGGATAGATGTGTTTCGTTAACCTAATTTCTTACAAATT